CTAAATTAGGGACGGCTAGCGCAGATAGCCCTCGTGTAGCTTTGCGCGAAATTCCAAAACAAAACAAAAAAAAATATTTCAAATAACGGACCTAGGTCAAAATCTTTTCAAACTGGTGCCCACAGTTGTATGGTCGACTATTGTTGGTTGCATAATTCCATATTATTTAAGGCCCAGCCTGGACAGTGGTTAGGGCGCTTGACATGCAATCTGAGAGCCGCGAGTTCGAATCCCCGTCCCACCAAATATGCTCGCCCTTTCAGCCGTAGGGGCGTTATAATATGACGATCAGTCCCAATATTCGTTGGTAAAAGAGTAGACCAAGAGTTGGCGGTGGATGGTGACGACTAGCTGCCATCCTTCTAGTCTTACACTGCTAAATTAGGGACGGCTAGCGCAGATAGCCCTCGTGTAGCTTTGCGCGAAATTCAAAAACAAAACAAACAATTATTCTGATGTAGTTATACACTGTAAGAATTTCCTCTTACGTAATCGGTACGTTCTTCGAGTAGAAGGTAGAATTGAACTTTACTATGAACTTTGTGAAGTTATAATTTCCTATTGTAGAACAAACCTGGGCAACAATAAGCTCTGTAAAAATATGTCTCCTCATTATTTTTACTATGTTAGAAAGTTCTCTTCACCTTGTAGTCGGTAGTAGATCACCTGTTTCATATTGCAGTCGTTCAAGTACACCCAGGCCTAGTCCAATGTTACAACAATGTATTTTTATGCTTCTTTGTGAATTATCAAGTTCATAATTGATTGGAATATATGTGAAATGTGTCAACAATCATTTCCAGTTTGTCTGCTTATAGAGGGGAGAGGCTTCTGAGCGCCTAGTCTGCGAAGTTAGCTATACTAGCAGCAACCCTACGTGGGGTGAGATGTTGTTTAAGTAATGTTTATATCCTCGATTAAGTCCTCTGACCATCCGTTACTAAAACTGTGCACAAAGCTATAAATAATCGTATTTGCTAGTTGATTGAATATCAATGTTCGGAGGTTGCTGTGATGGCTAACCATAATTATATTCATGTTAGCAATGTACAATCGAACAGTTAGAAATTCGCCATTAACGAAATTAATAGTTTTAGCCATTTCGCCAATGGCACCATGCTAAATACGCCTGTTATTTCCAATTATCGCGCCTAGATGAGGTATTTCACATAATGATGGTTATTTAGTTTAGGCAGTTCATGTATCTATTATGACAAGGACTCCAAAATAACCGAATAAAATAAGAGAATGCGATTCTACATAGTTAAGTTTACTTTTCAGACTGGCTCGGCATGGCCAGGTGGTTAGGGAGCTCGATTCGCAATCTGAGGGTCGCGGGTTCGAATCCCCGTCACACCAAACATGCTCGCCCTTTCAGCCATGGTGGTGTTATAATGTGACGGTCAATCCCACT